ATGCCGGGATTGTTACTCTTTGCTGAGAGCCAGCGCCTGCTTCCCCCGACATCAATGGCACAACAGAAGGCCTGGGTTACGGGGCCGGATCCTGAGCGCCCAGAGCTCCGTTGAAGGCATGTCCAGCACCTTCCTTGGCAGCTTGTGCCATTCCAGACCGGGCTGAGAGTGATTCTCGGGGAACACGGCACCCCACTGGTGTGCACAAGTTTGGATCTCTCGGCTGGACTGTATTGCACAACTTATCTCTAGCTGGGGAGATTAATTCTCGTGCTGGAAAGGCAGCTACTCTGTCCGGGCGGCCGTGCATGTGTGGGATGACAGGGGTCTCATACCGAAGGACAAGATGCGGGTTTCACAGGGGTGTGTTTCGAGCACGCCGCCCTATGGTGGCACGAGAGGAGGTTAGACATCTTCCATACCTGCCGTTTTGCGTGTGCTGGAGTCAGGGCCGTAGGCAAGAGGGATCTCACATCGGCCCAGCGAGCAATGGGCCGGGGGGAGGGCCAGGCTGCACCAGGGCGACCAAGAGTCTGAAGACGGGTGGTGGAGAGAGAGAGAGAAGAGGCGAGGAAGGCGGAAGGGGCCACGAGAGCCAACACCGTGCCGGTTTCAGCGTCTGGCCCCTCGCTTCGCGCGTGGACCCCTGGGCTGCTCGAAAACGGGACGGTTTAGCCGCTCGTGGTGCTGCGGCGTTTTCCAGGGACCTGACCCACTGCAAAGCTTTCCCCGGCGTCGTTCACGCCAGAAAGTTGCCAGCTGAGGCGACGCACCCACTGCGAAAGGCACCTCGGCGGCCGCAAACCAGACCCGGACGTGGATGACGCCCCTCGTTCCCGTCGGCGAGGAGCAGCTTGCGGAAGGAGGCAAGTCTGGGGGGCCTTGGCAGAGACAGCGGATGCAGAATCCCCCCCCGGATGGGCAGCGAACATAAGCGCTCGCTTGTTGGGTGCCATTGTCTGCCCCGGGGCTGTGTAAATCCTAGGGCGCACCAACTGGTCCCTGCTGCCGTGGACAAGTCCCTAATTACTCACAATTCTTTGCGAAGCAGGGAAATATCACCCGCCCCCTATTGCAGCTGGGAACAAGATCTGTGCGGGGCGTGAGCCTCCAATTTCGGGTGCACAAACATGGCCCCGTCGTTGGGCGTGCTGGCCCACGCCATTTCCCAGCTCTGCTCTGCGGTCCAAGCTACGCCTGTTACTTCTCCTTCCGCCCCCCACGGGGGGAGAACTCACCTCAGGCCTTTCGGAACGTCCCTCCCTCCCGCTGCAGCGTTAGCTGCTCTGCTGTCTCCTCCCCTCGCTGCCTCAGATCCTCTGCTCCGTCTTTCCTCCGGGTCCCCTTCGAAGGGGGCGAAGACCCGTGGGTCCGTGTTCTCTGCATGGACATTAAAGTGCCCATCATGGGGAGGAACAGCGCTTGGGCCTGGTTGAGCTGACCAGGCTGGCATGCATTGGTGTGCTCTTGCATTTCACCACGTGGTTTGCTGGACTCAGACCCATGGCCCGGTTGGGAGCCAATCCCTACAGCTGAGCCTGACTTTGGCTCTGGGTCTGGTGGGAGGCCCAGCTGCTGGGCGATACTGTCGCCCGTTCCCAGCCTCTGACAAAGAGACTCAGGAGACCTTCCCTGCCCAGCCTGGCTAATAGCCACTGCTGGACTTGTCCTCCCTGAATGCATCCAGCTCGTTATCCAGATCAGCTGCTGAACAGACCCGGTCCCTCATCCGGGGTCCGGAAGGCTGTGTCGTGGCCCGAGCCTGAGCCTGGGGTCAGCCCACCCTGGGAGAAGCCACGTGTGGCCTCGCTCTGCTCCCGCGGTTTTCCCTGGGAGTGCAGGGCGCCGGCCCCGGCAGACGCGCCCGTCCGGAGAGCTCTCCTGTTGGTTCTCGGTGCGAGCAGGAGCTGGCCTGGGTCTGGACAGGAGTGGGAACCGCAGCGATCCCCCTAGCACAGCCTGGCTCCGGCCCAGGGGCCACGTCTCCAGTTCACGTCCTACGAGAGCCTCCGACTTTCTCCCATCCGGCCCTCGCGTCTGTTGATGTGAGTGGCCGGATCCCCGGACGCGGGCTGGTGCAGCCTCAGACCGGATCCAACCTGTGCTTAGCGTGTTGTTCCCAGTGGCACCCGCAGCAATGGGGGCTGAGGCAAGGGCCAGCAGCTGCAGTGGGGGGAGGAGCCCACCGACGGGGTGATGTTTCTAACCATAGACACCGGAAGGGAAGAGACACAACCCAGCCAGGGCTTCACCCAGGCCCTATGGTCCCTCCCCTCCCATCTCCTGCCCTTCACCCTTCCATCCAGCCCAGCTAATCGCTATGGGGCCTGACATCCCTCCCAGCCCGATGCACGTCCTGGGGAGGGCGAGGGGGCATTGCCGAGGAGGGAGGGGCTGTGGTAGGGCAGCGGGCTCTAGTGTGGGGACCATGCCCATCCCCTTGGCGTCGGAGCCCTGCCACCCAGCCCTTGGTGGGAGCTGCTGTCTGACAGCAGCTTGGCAGCCCCGTGTGGCACACGAGGCAGGAGGTGGCAGGTGCCTACCTCTTAAAATCCGCCCCCCCTTCACGTTCCTGGCTGGCTGCCTTGGAGGGGAGGCCAGGGCGGGTGTGGGGCAGGCGAGTGGCAATTGGAGGAGCCGGGGAGGGGCTGGCACGCTGGGGGAAGCGCACCCTGCTGCGGGTGCTGTAGCAGCAGACCCCCCCCATGGTATTTGCTCGGCCCCCCTCACCTTCCTGGCATGGAAATCTCCCCCCCAGCTCAGGGAGGAGCGGGTTGGTGGGGGCGCTGCCCTCCAGCAGTCAGATCCGGCCGTGCTGCGCCGTGTGTCCAATGCCCTGCAGTGCAAGGGGGAGCCTCCTTTGGTGAAAGGCGCAGGCTGCGGGCCTTTGGGAGCATGAGTGGGGGAGTTCGACCCCTGGGGCCGCCCCGAAATGCTGGGAGTAGCCCCTGCGGGCGCCAGGCCAGAGCGTCCGTTGCAGCCGGGCGTGGGCGTGAAACGGGAGTAGGGAAAATAAATCACTGGCTCTTCCCAGTGTCAACCCAGCCTGTAACCATAGCAACAGACCTTCCCTGCGCACCCCATCTCCATGGCGACGAGGGAAATCAGGCATCCCACATAGCAACCTGGGGAAGATGGAAACTCTGGGATTCCCCCCAGCCCTTGGCCCAGCGGAAGGGGCTCTGGGACGGGGGGAGGGACGCACCCCGTAAACGTCAGCCTGGAGCTGTTCCCCACCGCTGTGAAACCAGCTGCTCCGTCTCTGGGGTGCTGCTGGCAGCTCCTGGCCGTCGCTCCCCCCGGGCAAGGCTGGGGACAGACTCGGCGCAGCTACGGGCTGGCTCGGGGCCCCCCGCCTAGAGCGCTGCAGAGGGGAGGCAACGGGGCTGGATTCCCCCTTCTCCGCCTCTTCCCCCACCCCGGGGGGGGCCGCTGCTCCAGCTGCGAGGGCTTTGGGGTCCCTGGTCAGACCCATCCCTGCCCCTCACTGCTCCCGCCTCAGGGGAGCGCGGGCAGGGGTCTAGAGACACTAGAAGTGGAGGGGAGCTGGAGAGGCCGAGTTCAGTCCCCTGCCCTCGCGGCAGGGCCAAGCACCGACAGCCAGGGCCACGAAGGCCCTATTAGCTCACCCGAGCCCAGCATGCGGACACAACCCCCTCGGCTCAGCTGCTGCGAGGCCCGTGGCAACGAGCCCAGCCCCAGCCGGCCCCTGCCCGCTCACCCCTGCCCCTGCGGCCTGGTGAGCTGGGTCCGGCCCTGGCAGCTCACTAGGGTCACAAGGCTTTGGGGGTGGGGCAGAGCGGAGCACGGTGCTGCCGTGCAGGCGGCTGGAGAGCCCCACGGCCCACAAACCACACGAGGGTCTAGGAGCCCCCCACGGCTGCTTTGGGATTTCTCTGGAGCCAGAGGATGCAGAAGAGCCGGTCCCCGAGGACACATGCTGGGAGACGGGGATGGGAAACGGGCAAAACCAAGCCCCAGCTGCCGCTCGCCTCCTGCAGACGCACGACCCCGTTTCGTCCCTGTCGCAGGCAGCGCCGGGGGCTTTGCAGATCCAGCTCCCCTCTGTGCTCGCGCGGCTTGAAGAGCAGGGGAGCTGGCCAGGCCCCTGGGGGCCACTGCTCTAGTCAGCTGGAAGGCGCTGTGGGATCCGGAGCGAGCACCGGAGCCTGGGGCTGCACTTAATCCACGGCCTCGCCTGCGGCCGACTTCTGTGGCGTGCTGGGCGCAACAGGCCAGAGCCCCCCAGGGCTCCCCTCTCCCCCTAGGAACAAGCCAAGGGCGCGAGGCCTGCCCCCCCCAGACACGACCCTGCATCGGATCCAGAGCCGTTCTGCCGAGCGCCGCTCCTGAGCCTCCTCCCTCGCCGCAGGGCTGCTGGGGCCCTCAGCTGGCAGGGACCCTCTCAAAGCGGCGTGGAGAGGCCCCCGATCAGCCTGCTGCCACCTTGGCTTCCCGGGAGCCCCACCCTGGTCAGCGGGAGCCTGGGTCAGGAGTCAGAACGGCCCCGACTGCTGGGTCTAACCCAAGCCCCTGCCCCGCTGCATGGCCCCTGGCAAGTCCCAGCAGCGCAGGCGGTAAATTCACTGCTGCAGAGGGAGCCTGGGCCCCGGGATCCCCACCCCCCAGCGCAGCAAGGGAGACAGCCCAGCTGCAGATGGCTCCAGCCAGCACAGGAATTAACCCTCCAGCCAGAAGGCGAGGAGACGAGCTCTCACCTACAGTGTCCTTTGGCCGGATCCCACCAAGCCCCTTCGCCTCCCCCGAGGGCCCAGCAGCCACTTGCCTGCCTGGGAGCCAAGCACGCCCGCCTGCAGGAGGGGCCTGGCTCCACGGGAGCTCATTACACAGCTCTTCCCGCTCCCAGAGCTCTGCGGATGTGCAGGGACTGGAAAGTGACCCCCCGGGGCCCCTTGAGGAGCACACAGCTGTGAGCAGGCCGGCTGTGCCGCGCCCCGCTGGTGAGCACGCAGGGGGGTGGCAGGACCCCATGCCAGCCGGCCTGTACAAGAGGGAATTTATTCCAATACACATTTATATACACAATGCCTCCCCCACCCCCGGCAGCCCAAGGGCCAGCAGCAGCACGTGCGCTCCCGTGGAGGGAAGCGAGCCGTCAGTGTCCTGCCGGATGCTCACCGAGCCACAGGGCCGGGCTCTACTTCACCATGTCTTCCCCCACGGCCTTGTTCATTCTGTCCCGGAGGTAGGCCGCCTTCTGCCACTCCGACTTCAGCTCCAGAAACTCATAGTAGGGAACCTGCAGCGGAGGAGGGAGCAGGGTCAGGGCTTGCGAGGGGGCGGCCAGGCTGCGCTCTTGGGGCTGGGCAGGGCTGCGGAGGCAGCTTGGGGGGGATCACGCCCCTGAAGGGCAGAGGGCCAGGGCTGCAGTGTGCCCCTTGGCACAGCTCTGCCACCAATGCCCAAGCACGGTCAGGCCAAGAGGCAGAGCGTGGGACAGGAGCCAGCCTCACCAGGTTCCCCCTCTGCAGATGCCACCCGAGCCCCAGGGGCGAAGAAACAGCGCAAGCGTCCCAGGTCTGGGGAGCCTGTTACAATCAACCAGCCCATTGCGGGGAGAGAAAACTCTGGCCCCCACTGCACAGCGCCTGACGGGAAGCAGCTCGTGTCTGGCTGGCCTGGACGAATGGCTGACGGTCGCTAGAGCACCCAGTAAAATCTCCTATCCCAACAGCCCTCAGGGAAGCAGCCGGGCCGGGGGGACACGTCACACCGTGCCGGGAAACTGCACCAGCGAACCCCCCTCGCGGCCGACGCGACACATGCAGCTCTCGGCTTTAAACACGCCAGAACTAACCACAAGCGCCGGGCTGGCCAGAGCTGCCACAGAACGGGCGTGCGGGCTGCCCAGACAGCCCCAGCCCTGCCTCTCCTCACTGCGGCGGGGAGGGCAGGCTGCGTCCAACGGCCCTTCCGCTGAGAGGGACCTGCCCTGGGAGCCTCTACACGGACGCAGGCCCCCTGCCAGCCATAAACAGCTGCCACGCAACGCAGGCCCCTGCCGTGCCGGGTGCATCAGCTGCACGGAAGGAACATTTCCTTCTTTGAAAACAAGACCAGTGCTGTCTCCGAGCCTGCGGCGGGCAGCTGGCGCGTATTTCTATCCCCAGCGCCAGAGCCGGGGGGCCCATGAACGACAGGTGAAGCTGTGGCAGCCGACGGGGCCAGCCCCCAGCAGGGCAGAGGCGGGTACTGAACTTGACAAGGCTGCAGGGCACACGCCCTACCTGAAAGTGACTCTTCCTGGCTGCCCCTGCGTAGGTTCTGTGTTCCCCTTGGGACAGGGTGGGTGCAAGGGCTGGATGGAAGGGGAGAGAGGCAGCTCTCCCTGGCTGAGCGGGGCAGCCGAGAGAAGGTGGCCATAAAGCAATTAAGGGCCAGGGGCGCTGACTTCAGGCTGCCAGGGGACCTCTCTAAAAGCCTTGCGGGTGGGGGAGTTTGGAGAGTGGAGCGGAACTAACAGGGAGAAGCAGAGGAGCGAGCAGAACATCAGCGCTGCCAAAGGCTGCAGGGGGAGGTGAGGGGCTCCGGCAGGGACTGCCTGGAGGCTCCCTTCCCGGCAGGTGGCCAGACACTTCAGCTGGTGGCTGAGGCCTGTTTACTCAGCCCCCACCGGCCAGGGGCCCCAACACCCCGTTGTTTCGCCAAGGGGCAGGCCGAACGCGGAGGAAAGGCAAGTGGGACCTGTGCCGCGGACCCACTGTGGGGTCATGGGCAGAATCGGGGTCTGGGACCCAGGAGTGGGACTGACCCTAACACGCTTCTAATTCCAGCACAGACAGGATGCTTGGGAAGCGCGCAAAGCAGGCACGTCTCGCCTGCTAGGAATGGGGCAGTTTGGTAGGAGACACCCTGTGGCCACCGGGGCTCTGAAGCGCATTAAAAGCTGTCGGCCTCTGGCAAATCAGACACTTGGGGCCTGCGTGTCCCCCTCTACCCCAGGCGGGGGCAGTATCTCACCAACGTCTGGGGCGCATCTAGACATTCACTGGCACTAGGCCTGGGCAGCACAAGGTGCTCCTCCAAACGCCAACTTCATCGGGCATCACTGCAGCTGCTTCTGGGGCGGAGCACAGGGCACTACGCTAGCCGTGATGAACATCCGACACCCCGCCCAGATGAGCCTGCCAAGAGGCAGCTGTCGAGAGCAGCGGCGCTACGGTGAGTTGGGAGGGAAGCTTTAACAAGCACGGACAGGACCCGCTTCCTTGTTCACTGGACTCCCAGCACGTCAACCATTCCATGGCCCATTTCCTTCACTTCACCCAGCCACTTTCTTATCCCCCCAGGCCCACTCCGCACTGCCGGAGCAAGAGGCAGGCAACCGCTGAAGGCACCGTGTGGAGAGGGAGGAGCATGGAGTCAAGGGAGAGGCAGGAGGGGGCAGCTATGCCGCACAGAACGGCGGCCACGTGGCTACAGCGCTCTAGGCCTCCCAGCGAGTCTGGGGCAATTGTGGCACGAGGTGCCCTGGGAACAGATCAGGTCCTGCCTCGATGCTGGGCAGGCGCTGGAATGCAGCCGGCTCTAGGATGCTGGCTTTGGCACTGGCTTTAGCAGCAAGGGAAGGCGGATGAGGGGCGCTCTGTGTCTTGTGCTCCTGAGCCTCTGTCGCCCTGTAGCTACCAACCAGCCCCAGGGCACAAGCTTCTGCAGCGCCTCCTGCACTGCCAGGTGGGAGCTGAGGATTGAGGGCCACCGGGGAGCCGGGAAAGGCTGGGACTCCACTTCCTGGCTCTGCCACAGACTTTTCATGAGCCCATGACAAGTCCCTTAGTCCACGTGGCTCAGCAGCTGGGCAGGGACGCCACTTCCTGGCTCTGCTGCCACTTCCTGGCTCTGCCATAGTCTTTCCATGAGCCTTGGGCAAGTCCCTTAGTCCACGTGTCTCAGCTGCCCACCAGGGCGAGACCCCCTGGCCTGAGTTCTGCAGAAGCTCAAACCCAGGGGTCAGAACGGTCCCCTCCGGCCTTAAATTGCTGCCTGGGTAAGATGGGGATGATGGGAGATGCTCTGCTGAGGCTACATGACCACGGAGCACGGGGACACCAGAGCCCTGGGGCCAGAGGGACTAAATAAACACTCGCATCGCCTCCGCTGTTGGATCTGCAGCTGTCCCCTCCAGCTGCACTGGCAGTGGAGCCTCCAGTGGCCCCTGGCAAAGGAGGGGTCAAGTCTTTTACCGCAGGAGAGCACATGACGGCCTGGCAGGAGGCCCCTCGCTCCATAGCTCAGGGGAGCCAGAAGCTCCTTCTCGCCCCTGGGCGGGGCACTTTGCGTCGGCGCGCTGCCTGGAAACCAGGGATGTGAAACCCCCTTCAATCGGTCACACATCAGGGTGTACTGGCTAATGGAGGTAGGTCGGCTGCCGGCTCCCGGCCCGTGGTGTGCTGTGCTCGGGGGGGTGGGGCTGCTGGCAAGTGCCAGGTAACAGCTGGTGTTTACTGGGTAACCAGTTACTTGCTCACATCCCTACTAGAAACCGGGGAGCGGGAACATTGGGAGGAGGGGGGGAGAGGTGTTGGGCAGGACTGAATTCTGCAGGGAAAGAAGGAACAGGCCAACATCCACTCCACAGAGACACAAGAACGGGCCAGGCCGAAGGTCCCTCCGGCCCAGTGTCCTGTCTGCTGACAGCGGCCAGTGCCAGATACCCCAGAGGGACTGAACAGAACAGGGAATCCTCAGGTGATCCCTCTCCGGCCATCCATTTCCAGCCTCTGACAGAGGCCAGACACACCATCCCTGGCCATCCTAGCACATAGCCACTGATGGACGTAACCCCCATGCATTTCTCTAGCTCTCTTTTGAACCCTGTTGAAGTCCTGGTCTTCACAACCTCCTCTGGCAAGGAGTTCCACAGGTTGACTGCGTGAAGAAAAACTTCCTTTTGTTTTAAACCTGTTACCTCTTCATTTCATTTGGTGCCCCCTAGTTCTTACGCTGTAGGAGTAAGCAAATACCTTTCCCTCATTCACTTTCTCCGCACCTGTCATGGTTTTGAAGCCCTCTATCATATCCCCCTTTAGTTGCCTCTTTGCTAAGATGAAAAGCTCCAGTCTCGTTAATCTCTCTTCATAGGGGACCTGTTCCAAACCCTCTGAATTCAGCCAGGACGGGAGGGCGGCGAATCTCTTGCTAGTGAAGCCACACACAGCCCAGGGAGACAGGTCAGCCCTGCTGCCGTGGGGCTCCGATTCCTGTAGGCGGAGAGGGCAGCTGCAGCTCAGGCCCCGGCTCACAGCCGTGTGGCGTTGGCACTCGTGGGGCAGCTGCACAGGAGGCTGAAAACCCGCTGGAGCCGAGGCCAAGAGCACCAGGGCAGAGAAGCTCAGAGCCAGGCTCAGACCTTGAGTGTTCCTGCTCCCAGGCAGGCCGATCAGTGGCTCTGATGGGCTGTCGGTTGTGTGGTTCAGGGACCAGCCCCCACGGCGAAGGCGCTGTGCCCGGTCCTTACACAAAGGCCTTTCCCCGGGCGGTGCACAGCGACCCCTGGTGGCCAGAGGCGGAAAGGCACTGCCCCAGCACGCAGCCTCATTCAAACCCCTCTGCTTTGAACCCAGCAGGTACTGCAGGTGGTGCCAGCCGCCTTCCTTCAGCACAAGCTGGCTGTACACAACGAACGGCAGCTCCAGTGCAGGCTCGGGGCTCCCGCAGGAAGGGCACTGCCGGATGGATCTAGGGGCACTGAGAGCCAAGGCCGACATTTCGCTTGGTTGCCGCCCGCCCCCCATCTTTGGGGGCGAGTAGAGCGGGGTGGCTTGGGAGACCCGGTTGCTGGTCCCATCTCTAGGGCACGCAGGGGCAGAGACCTCACGGTGCGCCCCATGCAGGCGACCCAGCCCTCTGGCTGCTTGACAGGCCACGTTCAGGCTGTACGGACCGAGCTCTGGACACTATCACTGCTCTGAAACTGAACCGAGTCACAGCTGCTGGGGCACAGGCAGCCTCACTGCCGGCTATGGCGATGAGCCTGTCTTCAAGCCAACAGCCACTGCAGAACACTCAGCCACTGGGACACACCCGGAGCCTCGTGCCAGCATCTCCTCCCTGGCATGGGGGAGGCAGAACACCTCTCGGAGATCCCTCTAACAGCCTGCCCTCGGGCTGGGCCGGAGCACTCCCTGCACCCACACAGCTAACCCCTGCCCTCGGGCTGGGCCGGAGCACTCCCTGCACCCACACAGCTAACCCCTGCCCTCGGGCTGGGCCGGAGCACTCCCTGCACCCACACAGCTAACCCCTGCCCTCGGGCTGGGCCGGAGCACTCCCTGCACCCACACAGCTAACCCCTGCCCTCGGGCTGGGCCGGAGCACTCCCTGCACCCACACAGCTAACCCCTGCCCTCGGGATTCCAGGGACAGGGCGTTCGGAGTGTCCAGTGCCGGCCCCTGCAGGCGCTTCATTCTCAGCCCTCCCTGGGAAAAGGCCTCTGGGATGTTGGCAAAGCGAGGGCCAAGCGAGTAAAGCCACATCCCCAGAGGTACAGCCAGGACTAACCGCAGGGCGGCTTCTCCCTGCTGCTGTTCTGGGACTGCTTTCATACCCACGCAGCCCCTCCCCTAGTCACTGGGCTGGGGCGGCCCCAGGTTGGAGGCCCCCTCCCTTCAGACCAGCCCCGCAGGCGGGTGGTTTCGGCTGCTGTGTCTCAGGAAACGGACTCAGTGAGTTCAGCTCGGCCCAAGGGGAGAGGGAGACTGGAAGGGAAAGCCACATCCCCAGAGGTACAGCCAGGACTAACCGCAGGGCGGCTTCTCCCTGCTGCTGTTCTGGGACTGCTCCCATCCCCACGCAGCCCCTCCCCTAGTCACTGGGCTGGGGCGGCCCCAGTTTGGGGCTCCTCCCCCTTTCCCTGGGAAAACTGCTCCCCGATCTTACTGGCAGGCAGCCCTC